AACAATACTAAATATTTAATACAATTATAAAATAATTGATTAAAACTTAATTTTATATAATTTAATTACAACATAATTTATAATACTTTAATAATTAAAAAAATTTTAAAAACTTAAATTATTAAAAAATAATAAATATTACATATTTTAATAATTACATATCTTACAACATTTTTAAAATTTTAATTAATAATTAATAAAATCTATCATATTTCATTTATAATATTTTTAAAAAATAAATAACCAAACACCAAAATAATTTTCAGTCATAATTACGATCACACCTTTAACTACATGATTAATTATAAGTTAAAGTTAACCAATGGACTTACTTCTCGACCATCTTGATCTCTGGGTAACCAACTAGAAAAAGGGTAGAGGGGGAAATGGAGAGAAGGCAGGAGGAAAGAGAGAAGACGAAGAAGAAGCGATCTGTCTGGAGATAGTCAAGGCCTCAAGGGGTAGAGAATTGCGGAGATAGACAAGGGTAAGCAACTAAAATTCAATTTTTTCCCACCTATGATATTTATTTTTTTGTTTCATTTGTAAAAAAATGATTTTAGAATTATTTTTTTATTATTTTTTAAAATAATTTTTTTATATAATTTTACGTATTATTTAAATTATTAATTTTTTAATTTATTTAAAATTTATAATATTAAATATATTTATTTATTTATTTATTTAATAACATATAAAAATTATATTAAAATATAATATAAAAAATTTATCCGCCCCACCTTTATTCGTAGGGCCTCTTCTCTTAAATCTCCTGATCTATAAACACTAGACAACAATCATCCCATCCTTTTACTTTATCAAGCATGAGTTACAGTGGGATGGGACAAAATTTTTATCCTATCCCAATGTAAATCCAGCACTCTAAACGAGCTGTTAGTTGATGTTGATTGATAAGTTACTCTTCTCATTTAGGGCTCAGCATTTAGTTGGGGTTGTTTAAACTGAATTAAATTTTTAATTATTTAAAATAATATCTATATATATATCTAGTTTTTTACTTGCCTCCGTCCACGCACGGTTTTTTTTAGGTTGTATTAGAGCTTACATTTTTATATTATTTTTATCAATTTTAAAATTTTATAATGGTTTTTTAAGTCAAATAATTCTAATTAAATGATTAAGGTTGGATTTGAGATAGTGTTTGGTAATTAATAATGATACTTTTTTAATACAGAGCCACATTAAAAAATAAATAAATTAAGAGAATTCAAAAAACATTTAATATTATCTTTCTTTTTTTAACTATTATCTGAATTAAAGATTAATATGATATTTTCTTTTCTCTCAATTAAAGAACTAAAATTAAATAGGAACATGAACTCTTTCAAATCTTGCATTTCAATTTCTTTAGAATTATGATGAAACAAAAAAAAAAAAACTAAATAATACTCTTATTAATTTCTTGTTTAGTTATTTTAGAGTGTACATTGCACATTTTTTTTATTTTATATCTATATTATATGATTTTCCTTTGTAATTATTTTTATGATAAAGTTACTTTAAAGAAATGTGAATTGTATTTGTTAATTAGATTAGAAGACAAAAATATGGAGTTTTTTTTGCCTTATGTATTAACACATGTTTTGGAATTCATTTTGCTCCAAAATATGTTTTTCGCTTTAAAATAAGTTTGAATTTTTATAATCCAAACTATACTTCTTGTGTAGTCTAGTTTTAAAAAATGGACTCTCATATATTGTAAATTGGGGTTTTAAAACTCTTTCAAATGATTAAAGTTTGAAACTATTTTGATTTTATAATATTAAATTTTATTATTTTTGTTTTATCTTTGTTTTTTTCTTGAATTTTTAGTGGTTCATCCTAGGAAATGCAACTTTTTTTAGCAGTAAAAATCCTTATTATTATTAGTAAATTGTTTTAATTTTTCTTATTTATTATTATTTTTGAAATATATGTTAAAATAATAAAATAATTATCATTTATATATTACATCATTAATTATGTGCCTCTTGATCTTCTATTATTAACTATAATAAATCATAAATAAATTTTTGTATATTCACAACCTTTTGTTTTCCATGCTCTCTTACATTTATTTTTCATTAAAATATTAATATAAGATTTTTTATGTAAAAAAAGGTGAAAAGAAAAGTTTCATAAATTTGACAAACGATAAAAGTAAATTTAGATCATTTAGGGCCCTTAATATTGCACAAATAATTACTATACATTACAATCCTATGATTAGTTCTTATTCTTCATAAATTTTGGGTTTTTATTTTTTACCTTTGGTTAAATGCATTGTCATGCCCCAAAACCATGAGCAAAATAGACATCGTGTACTCGTGAACAGATCCCACAAATGCACAAGGTTCAGAACTTACTGTGTTCATAATTACCAATTACATAGCTTAAATCTAAAAACTCGATTAATAACTAGCTTTCAATTACCAAAAAATTGCTAGTCCAAATGTACAAAAGTTTATAATGTTGTACCTATGATTTTGATAATTACAAAACACATTTGAGTGACTAATTGGTTTATTTAAGTGTATAGTTAAGTTGCTAAAAGATTGCAAGTAAACTTGGACTGCACTTAAAAATGGACCAGAAAGGCTTGGGTATGTGCAGAGAGCCAGCTCTTGAAAGCTGCAGCCGGCTCTGGTGAAATGGAAGTGCAAAGAGCCGGCTCTACCAGTAAAGATTTAAAGGTCCGTTGTTTGGCACGCATGGAGAAAAGACGCAGAGCCGGCTCTAACTTTGCAGCCGGCTGTAAAGGTGCATTTAATGCACAACGGTTGACTTATTTGAAGAATAATTAATATTGTTAAAGTCGGAATACCAAAGTCGGCTCTAGGCTTTGCAGCCGAATGTGGAAGAAAACAAAATGTGCAGGAAACCTGCAAAGTTGGCTTTGCGTTTTGGAGCCGGCTCTATGGAGAAAACAGAATCTGCAAAATCCCGCAAAGCCGGCTACAAAAGTGGTGAGCCAGCTGTAGAGAGTCGGCTCTAGGAAGTTAAGCCAACTCTCCTGACAATCTTGCAACTCGAGCTTTGCGTCCTGTAAAGCATTTAAAGACCCTCAACGGTTAGAAATGGTTATTTTCGAGCAAGGTACTATAAATATGGTTGGTAATAGATCTGAAGAAGTTTAGAGAGCATTTTATTGAATATCTTTACCTATCAACTTGTGCTTTAACTTAAGATTTTGATCTTTAAGAGATCTTTATTTGTAATCCTCTTCTTGTTCTATTTGTGAGTAATCTTAAAGGTGTGATTATTCCTTCAAGAATGATTTGTAGAAAGGATTGTTTGGGTTTATCTTGTAAAAGGATGAAATTTGAGAGAAACATTTTTTCTCTTGTAAAAGGATTGAGTGGCTCTTTTAAGTCACCCTTGTTGTTGTTAGTGGAGAGCGTAGAGAAAATTCTTGGTGAGTGAAGCCAAGGTAGAGGATTAGGTTCCAAGTGGTTGGACCGAATCTCTATAAAATCATTGAGCAAGCTCTTCTTCTTTACTCTCTTTATTTTTGGTTTTGTGGTTGCAAAAAGGGAAAAATTTTTAGAATTCCAATTCACCCCCCTCTTAGAGTACATTGAGTCAACATATAAAATGGTCATGGCTATAACCAAGGGAAACTCAGTATACAAAAAATGATTTATCAGTTCACGTCTATATCAAGCATGTGTGGCTAACTGCCTAAGTCCAAAAAGGATCTAAATCCAAATATTGATTAGCCTTCTAGCTCGTCACTCCCCTAGTTAACTGTGTCTCGGGTCTCACTTCCTGAAATGGTGGACAAGGACAATTATGAGATAAGATATCTCAGTAAGTAAAAATATGAGTAGCTTGTGAGTAAAATTTAAGCATGCATGATAAACAATTTAATCATAACAAAACATTCCATGATAAACCGTTAATGCAAAACAAGATTCAACAATCATCTCATCTATAAATCAATAACAAAGCGTTCAATGATAAACAGTTAATGCAGAATAAGATTTAGCAGTAGTCTCATCTATAAGTCATGGCCAGTGTTTAATAACTACTATTGGCAGACGTCAGTTTTAGTAATAACCAATGTATTATCCCATTGACAGGATTACAGAATGAACCGATCCTATTGGTAAACATGTCGACATGTGCTAGCGTTTCAAACTCCCACTAGCAGGGGTCAGTAATCAATAATCATGACTATATTAAAGACAAAATCATGCAAGATTTACAAGAAAAATTCATAATTCACAATCAATCTCAAATTTCAAGAATAAACTAGAAAAATTCCATGTGGGCATGGATTTAACAAGAAAATCATAATTTAAAAAAAAAATTTAAGATCATCAGAGCAGTTAAGTAAACTCCAAGTAGGCATGCTCTATTCAATGAAAATGAAAATAATTCCATTTCCAACCAATCATGCTCGATGTTAATAAAATCAATTTAAACCTTGCCACCATTTTAAAAATAATTTAAAACATGCTTTTACTTTTGAAATCGAAGCGTGTTACCATAATTTACTTACCTTAATTACATAACACAGAAAACTCACTCCAAGTGCTAGGGTGACAAAACAATCAAGAACCTAACCAAAATATTCCAGAATTAATGACCATATGACCGGACATCTCAATTTTCTTCTCAATATAAACTAAACATTTAAACCCTCCTATTGTTGGCCATTAATCCCATAAGAAATCTCATTTATTTATTTATCCTTATTTTTCTTCTATCCGAAATTGAGTACAAAAATCAGATTGTGCATTTATATCTGTACATAACACACATATACAAATTCTCCAATTCACGGACAATAACATGGAGGAACCAGTTTTGACAATCAATGGCTAATTTCACGGGATTTTTCTCCAAAACCTCACAACAGCTAATTAATACCCAATCACATAAATTCTACTTGAATTAATGCTTAATTTTGATCTAATCACTACCAGAATTCATCCCCTAATTTAGCAGAAATTCGAACAGCACAAGGTAGCAATTTATGGACTAAATTCAGCAACTAATGGGTAATTTGGACTTAGATTGAGCTGTCACATACCAGAATTTCAGCAAGCAAACCAGAGCTGCAAGTTGGGGGAAGTCGACGGAAGTGCAGGGGAAATTTTCGGGATTTACCAAAAATTGGGAGAAACCAAAAGAAATTAGAGTAAATCCAAGCCAAATCAAAGGAGAAAATAGGAATTAGTGGCTGTTTCCCTTACCAGAAACCAGAAAAATCACACCCACAAAGCAAGAGCAACAGACGGAAGGAACAGAGCAGAGCAGATCTGGAAATTTCGGCAGGGGGGAGGTTTCTAAGCTCTAAATCTTGTTGTTGAACAAGAAAAGAAGGGAAAAATCAAGCTCTTTTACCCTTTTTTTCAAGTGGGTGGTGTGTCGGTGACTAGGGCTCTTGTTCGGTGCAGGGGAGAAGAAGAAGAGCAGAACGCGCGGCTGAAGAAAGAAAGAAAGAAGGAAAAAAATCAGCCATCCTTATCCTAATTTCTTTTCCCTTTTAAGTCCCTCTAAATTTGATAATTTGATGATTAAGCCCAATAATATTATTTTTTCACAATTAAGTCCCTAGCTTACACTTAATTATTCTAAAAATTTTTAGGGTATTACATGCATTGTATGTACCTAAAAGTAATAATGATAAATAATAAATAATGATAACGATGATGATGATCACGATGATAATAAAGAGGAAGACAAGAAATTGAAGAAAATAAAAAGTTAAACTAAATTATTAATCACAGTTATTATGTTTTTAATGTAAAAATAATATTTTTTTATTTTTAAATTTATTTTTAATAATTAAAATAAAATTACAAAATTAGTATCCCTAAAATTTTCTCTTAGGGTTTTGGGAATGCTTTTTTCTCCTCGTGGTGGGAGGTGTCAATCAATCTGAGCAACAAACTTTCACAGGGCGAAATCAAGTATACGAGATTTGACAGTAGCACTAGGCAAGCGCTTATCCCTAACTGTAGATGAGGACGTCGGACTATCCTTGGATGATGGAAAAGGTATACCGACTACAGGTAGTGGCTGGAAAGGGTGTCTTGTTGGTACGGTTTTGATCAAGAAGAAATATAATATGGAAGCCATGGAGGATACATTGGCAGATGTTTGGAGGCCAGTGAAAGGCATGCATATGAGGGTTTTGGGAAAAAACTTGTTTGCTTTCTATTTCTTCCACCCTGTTGATATGCAGAGAGTGTTGGCTGTCGGTCCTAGGCATTTTGTCAACCATGTTATGGTCTTGAAAGAAGTGCCGATTGGGAAACATGTGACAAGAGACAAGTTGTATGAAGTTCCCTTTTGGATACAAATCCATGGCCTGCCTCCTGATCGTTTGACGATAGAAACAAGCAAGCAAATAGGTGCTGGACTAGGACGCTGTGTAGAAGTGGATGATGGTGGGAGTGATTCTTGGGGGGTGGAGTATATTCGTGTTTGAGTTTTCATTGACACTCGAAACCGATACGGTGTGGGATGAAATTGCTGATGAGGACTGGCCAAATTTGGGTTGATTTTTGTTACGAACGCCTCCAAAATTTATGTTATTGTTGTGGCATGTTAGATCACGTCGAGCGAGATTGTGAACTGGGGCTCGAAATGGAAACACTAAGAGTAAAGGAGCGCCCATATGGAGAGTAACTACGAGCCATGTCAAAGCGCCAGTAGAAAGCAGACACTACAGGAAGTTGGCGTTGGCTTCGAGATGCTTCTAGCAACCCAATAGTGACAAAGGCAGAAAGGTGGCAAGGCTCTGGTATCAATATGGAAGGTGTGAATTACAAGGAATTGAGGAGATCTCCTATGGATTTTGATTCCCCTGAATCCCTGATTGGTGGAGTGATAAGGGGGTGTTGATTAGAGCATCTATGGAAAGCAGTAGGGGTATGTTATCCCTAGAACGAAGGAAGGCAATCACAGATCATACTGACAACTTAGGATCAAAGGCTATAGAAATGGAAAGAAAATATGCTCCTAATGATGGCAATATCATAAAAGAAGGCAGGAGGAAGGAAATTGCTGTTGCTTTTGAAATTGGTGACGTGAACATAGGAGGAGCAACTGTTTCTGAAATTCCTACTAAGCATGATGAGCTAAATGGGCCAGCTTTTTTGCAAACCCATCTTCTGGCTGAACCGGTACAAACAAATCAGGCCCCAGTGTTTGATTCTATTTTCTTGTTCTCTTCAACCTGGACGAGTACTACCCCTAAAACTCGTGCTTAGAAACGTGATGCTCGGGACCGTAAACTAAAAGCTACTACTTCACAGTCAATTACTCCTGGTATTAAAAGGAAAGAAGAGTAGGTATTGGTGGGGGAAGGTGTAGAGTAGGTATTGGTGGGAGAAGGTGTAGATAAAAGTGGTGAGAAACATGGAAGAGGTGTGCGAGATGATGGATCCCAACTTATCTCATCGATGGGTGCTGCTATGCGGACTCGCTAGTCGCCATGAGTATTCTCTATTGGAACTGCTGGAGGCTTGGGAACCCTCGAGCAGTTCGTTGCCTCATTGAACTGGTGAGGTTAAAGACGCCTTTAGTAGTGTTTTTGAGTGAGACACTACTTGAAAAAAGACGTATGGAATGCATCAGAAGAAGGTTAGGTTACAGGAACTGCTTTACGGTTGATCAGAAAGGGCGAGGTGGAGGGCTAGCCATGCTTTGGAATAAAAATATTACATTACCCTTATTAAGCTACTCTTTGAACCATATTGACATGGAAGTAGAGGACTGAGAAAGAAGGAAGTGGCATTTTACTGGGTATTATGGGCACCCGGAGAGGCAAAATAGAACAAAGTCGTGGAGCTTACTACGACAGCTATCATGTCGTTCTTCACTGCCATGGCTAATTTGCGGGGATTTTAATGATCTCTTAAGTTAGCATGAGAAAAGGGGGGGAATACCCCAGCCAAATTGGATGTTGCCTGGTTTCAATGACGTGATAGTGTTGTGGATTGGTAGAGGTCCAGATGGTGGGTGGCTTATTTACTTGGCGACAAGGCAGAATTTATGATAAACTGGATAGGGGGTTAGCAACCTTGCGTTGGATGAATCTCTTTCCTCAAGCTCAGATCCACTTGCTTCCGCCACTAGCCTCAGATCATACCCCGCTTTGGGTCACCCTTGATGGTAGAAGAGACCGGCAAAGCAAGCATAAGAGAAGATTACGCTTCAAGGAAATGTGGCTACAAGATAATGGATGCCAAGAGGTAGTGCAGAATAGCTAGAACTCTATAGAAAGCGTGCATGGTTGGGATTGTCTTTCACAGAAGGTGTGTGTATGTTCAAAAGGGCTACATTGTTGGAGTGAATCCAAATTTGGGCATGTCCAAAAAAGGCTAAAGCAGTGTGTGGATAGGTTGGATATGTTACGGCGAGGCCAGAATCCTCAAGCCACTTATCATGAAGAGCAATGCCTTATCCAGGACATGGAGGAGTGGCTTGCAAGAGAGGAGATAATGTGGAGACAGCAAAGCCGTGAGATATGGCTCCAAGAGGGGGATCGAAATACTCATTTTTTCCACAAAAGAGCATCTAGACGACAAGATAGGAATAAGGTGGATCATCTACAAGATGAGACTAGGGAATGGAAGTCTAAGCCTGATGAGCTGCAAGCCATTGCTACTAGCTATTTTAACAATCTTTTTTCATCTTCCTACCCTTCAAATACTGAGACAGTAACTAGTTGCTTAAAGCCTTGTATTGTTGATCAGGACAAAGCTCTTCTTCTACAAGAATTCACAAAAGAGGAAGTCACTAAAGCACTTTTCCAAATGCACCCTTTGAAAGCGCCAGGTCCGGATGGCTTACCTCTAATGTTTTTCTAGCATTTTTGGAGTATGATCAAAGATGATGTGGTTAAACCATGCTTACAATATCTAAATCATGGAATTGCCTTCCCGTGAAGCTTAAATCTCACTTAGATCGTGCTTATCCCAAAGAAGAATGTTCCCAAGATGATGAGTGATTTTTGACCTATTAGTCTCTGTAACGTCGTCTAGAGTTCTTGCAAAAGTTTTGGCAAATCGTTTCAAATTGATTTTGCCAAATGTTATTTCTCAAGAACAAAGCGCCTTCCTACCAAATAGGCTCATCTCAGATAATTTTCTCATCGCCTATGAGGTCCTTCACTACATGAGAGCAAGACGACGACGGAAGCGGGGATGGCAAGCTATTAAGCTTGACATGAGTAAAGCCTTTGACCGGGTTGAATGGTCTTACCTTGAGGCTATAATGAAATCCCTTGGCTTTGCAGAGAGATGGATCTCATTGATAATGGGCTGTGTGACTTCTGTGAGCTATGACATTCTTCTAAATGGAATGGCCATTGGAAGGGTAATTCCATCTTGTGGGCTTGGGCAAGGCGATCCATTATCACCTTATCTCTTTATATTGTGTGCAGAGGGGTTAACAGCCATGCTCAGGGATGCTGAAAAAAGCAGGCTTATCCACGGAGTAAAAGTTTGCCCAAAAGCCCCTCCATATCTCATCCTCTCTTTGCTGATGATAGCTTTTTATTCCTACAAGCAACGAAGACTGAAATTGAACATTTGAGGGATATTTTGCAGAGGTATGAGAAAGCTTCTGGCCAAGTGGTTAATTTGCAAAAATCTTCTATTACCTTTAGCAGCAATGTACAGCAGAGGATACGTGATAATATACTACGCTTATTACATATGGAGGAATCTATGGACCCGGAGAAATATTTGGGTTTTCCTTCTTAAGTGAACCGATTGAGAATTACCTCTTTCTCATGGCTGAAATCCAGGTTTTGGGCTTCGGTAGCTGAGTGGAGGGAACAACCTCTCTCTCAAGCAGGTAGAGAGATCTTGATAAAAGCAGTATTGCAAGCCTAGCCTACTTATGTCATGGGCCTCTTTTTACTCCCAATTACTCTTTGTACTACCTTGGAAAGAATTATGAATAGATATTGGTGGGGTGGAGATGAGGAGGTGCACAAAATTCACTGGATGGAGTGGTGGAGGCTAGCCATTCCTAAAAAGCTAGACGGGTTAAGCTTTCGTGCACTTCATGAATTTAATCTAGCAATGTTGGCCAAGGGTGGCGTTTGCTCGTAAATCCTACTTCTTTGGCTGCTAGAGTAATAAAAGCAAAATACTTTCCTCGTTGTAACTTTCTACAAGCTGAACTAAAGCCCTCATGTAGTCTAACTTGGAGAAGTATATGGGGTTCAATCTAGCTTTTACAGCTTGGTTGCAGAAGGCTTATTGGTAATGGGAGGGATACAAAGATTTGGAGAGATCCATGGCTTCCGAGAAATAATAACTATTATATCCAGAGCCCTCATCCTGCAAATTGTGAGCTCACGTATGTATCTGACCTTATTGATCAAGAAACCCACACCTAGAGGCGTGAACTAGTGCTTGAGCTCTTTAATCATTATGAGGTGCACTTTATCTTGTCCTTGCCACTAAGTTGGATGAATTGGGAGGATGGTTGGACATGGAATTACACACAACACGGTGGTTATTTAGTTCGAACGGATTATCATCAGGCTATGAATATGCATAACTCCAATGATAGTCCATCAAGTTCCTCTCCAGACTTTAAGGGTGATTGTATATGGCGTTAAACATCCTGGAAAAACTAAAATTGTTTCTTTGGCAAGCTTACTGTGATATCCTTCCAACAAAGGTCAACCTCCTCCACCATCGAGTAAATATCGATCTCGAGTGCCCTATGTGTTATCTAGAGGTTGAATCGACGTTACATTGTTTCAAATCTTGCTAGGTTACCCGTGCAGGTTGGATGGGTTGCCCTTTAAGCTTAAGCACCTCAGAAATTCAGGTTGACAATTTTATAGGCTTCTTTAGCAGTGTAAGCACCCTCTTACAGAAGAAACAACTGGAGTTATTCTGTGTGCTGTGTTGGTAGATTTGCACCACTAGGAATGATTTGTTATGGAATGGTAAGGCTGTGAATCCACCACTTATCATTGAACAGAGTTTGCATTTTTTAGATGAGCATAAACGGGTTACTATTTTGAAAGGAGGAGCACCACCCACAGGTAGTAGAACTGGCTCAAGGTGGACTCCCCCACTTGATGATTCTGTTAAGATTAACGTTGATGGTGCATTATCCTTGCAACAGAGAACATCTGGTATGGGGGCAGTAGCTCGTGACTCCTTCGGCACAGTGCTGGGGCAGCGTTGTCGTGCAAGGGACAAGAGGTGGTAGTTGCTGAAATTACTGAAGCATGCAGTTTAAGAAAGGCTTTGTAGTGGGCTAACGAACTGTGCTTCAGAAAGGTGATTGTGGAATCTGATTACGCCAGTATTATGACAGCTATTAACACTGAAATTCCCAATCCGCATTCCTCTCTGGGCTCTGTTCTCTCAGACTGTAGAATGATCATGACCTCCTTTTTTTCCTGCACAATCCAACATGTTCATAGGGAGGGAAACTCAGTTGCTCATGAATTAGCAAAACGTGCTCTTCATGCAGAGGCGGATGAGTACTGGCTTGAAAGGGTACCCACTGATATTGCGCCGCTCGTGACAGGTGATAAACCAAGTGCTTGTACTCATTGAGTTTTGTAAACCTTGTCTTATATATGAAATAAACTGCGCATGATTCATATATATATAAAAAAAAAAAAAAAATTAGTGTTTAATTAATGATTAGGTAACATCTTATTATATAATATATATATATATATATATATATATATTTATGTTGGTTTCACAGTGTGATGCAACTATTTCATATCCCTTATCTCACCCTACCTGC